TATGTGTGTGTTTGATCAATCACACAGTGCACAAGTATGCTATTCGCTAAACAATGCGATAACATCTATGAAAAACATTGATTCTTAATCTTATCCTGATTATGTTGTTATTCATTTTCAAGCTACAAGAAAATTAATTTGCTGCCTAATTTATACTTGAAAGCGTATAAAAAGCAAAAGAACTTTTTCATCCTTTGCAAAAAATATGAAATTCGACTCTTCATGCAAACAGTTTTGCTTTCAATGAGAACAACCTCGCGCGTTGATTGTGCCGCACTTCCGCTTACTGTTTTCGCTGTAGGCACTGCAACAGGTACCGAGAGAAAAATAGCCGAATGATGATATGTAGGTCTACTAAAATAATCTAGTAAACAAAAAAAAACAATTTGTGCACTTTTTTTCACGTCGAGGACAATAGAAAGCGCAATTGCTTTGGCAGAAGAGCAGGAAGTGGCACACGGTGAAATTTGAGGAATTTTATCAACGTGCCTCAGATACGTGTACGCACGCGCGATACATTTCTGCCGGCGATTTCTGATTCGATTAAAATTATCATCAATCTCTCCCTCTCTCTTTTACTCAGCTCGAAGAAGCTTATAAAGTTTCACATGCACACAAGTGCGTTCTGCTTCCTTTTCGCGAAACTGGTTTTAAAAACCATCTTCATACTCGTTGCCGTTGCGAAAAGCAAAGGCTCGCCTGGTGTAATAGCTACCTCGGTCTTTTTCTTTCTTTCTTTTTCTCCTGAGTCAAATAAAATAATTCCACTCGATGCTGCTGTTCGTGCACACAATTCGACGCATGCATCGTCCACGAGATGTTAAATCTTTCAAACTTGATTTCTTTCATTATGATCCAGAAAGTAAGATTATAATGAGCAAATAAAAAATACTCGAGTGCAATTTGTGCGAATATAGTTACTATTTTCAATACGTTGAGATTAAAAATGAAAGACTTTGCAAAAAGTTTTTTGACTTCTTCTCGATATTTTGCTATCTATAAATCGAAAATACAAATACATATAATGTACATATGATTGTCAATGGAGATTTTTGCGCAAGATTAGTTAATTGGAATTGGTAAAAAAACGTATAACATTAATAACAATAGTACTTTTGTAGGCACATGCATTGACCACATTTTGTTTTATTTACGTTTTTCTCGACATACCAAATTAATATTAATCAAGCGCATAGGTCTACAGAGCTTGATACAAGTCTATTCGTTTCTTCATTCAACGACTCGACACGTCTCGTTTCAGGTATAATGGCCTCTCTTCTTCTTAACTTTTTCACGATAGCCTCCTCTTTCTTCACTTTTCTCTGCTTACGTATGCTAGCAAGGAAATTCGTGTGCATCTTCAGCTCGAAACTTTGCTTTATGTCTGGTTTGCTCGGGTAGGCTAAAGCTCTTTTATCTTCTTTTATTTTTATCATTAAGTCTGCGCGCGAACGAAGTTACCAACGTCGTGGCCGCCAACGCACGACTGTTTTATTCGTTATTTTACTTTCTAAACTTTAATACTTTGAAAGTTTTTTGTGCTAATTGTGTTGTAATAGTGCATTGCGCAACGGGGGCAGGTCTCGTATCTATGCAAACCTCGCTACGCTCGGGAAGCAAACTTGACATTCGTGCAATATAGAAATCCACCCCAATTGCGTACTTTATTTTTTATCGTAGTATGAGGAAAGTCGATTTCGAGATGTCCATAGTTGTGCGTTAAATTAGCTCTCTCCGTAGGCAGTGATGAAAATTATTTTTTCCAGGCGAGTACGACAAAAGATGACAGTTTTAGTCATCAAGTAGTGTAAGAGAAATTTTAAAATTGCGTTAAAAGACCTCACCAGGTGCTTTTTTCAGCGAAAAAAGTTTGTAAGTATTTAATTTACAGCAGCTTCAAATAGTTAGTTAATTATTGAATCTGAACTTTTGAATTTTCATGGAAAAATTGTCATCAGATAGCCGAATTCAGTAACTTCACGATAAAACAAAGACAACGAGCTACTTTTGAGTCCTAGAAGTTTTTTCAAGATGTTAATACAATTTTTAAAGAGCTTTCAACTGAGATTGCAATAACAGAGTATAAAAGTCGAGCATCAAAGCAAGCGCTCGCTACCACTTCGCCCGCGGCTTTCATATCCCACGAGCACGTTGAGCGAGAAAAAAAGAAGCGTAGCAGAACAAAGGATATGTGCGTTCTGATCGACAGCGAGAACGAATGAAGAGATTCGAGTGGCTGCGCGTGTATTTTCCTTGCAAATTTTAACAAGTATCATATATCTTGGCTAAGCAACACAAAGACGAGAGAGCTTTTTTTACAAAGGAAAAGAATCACCGAGTACTCTTCAAAAATTCGTACACTTATAAACCAGAGGATATATTTTTTAAGAATTGTATACGATAAATGTTATAGCCTAAGGAAAAAGATGTGTATTTGTCAAAACCACCTGATCTTGTACCATTTCGTAAATACGTTAGCGGGTACCTGCAGTAGAAAAAAATGTCTATGTTTTTAAGCGCGCATGTCGCTTATTATTACTAGTATTCACCAGTATTTTAATTTGTGTTATATTCGTCAACAAATTGATTAAACGAACGGTAAGAAAACAAGCATGTCCTAAATTATTATCAATCGGATATACATAAATAATATATTAAAATCCAAATGAATGCTCGCAGTTCATTACATACAGAAGACGCACCGGTAGATTTTCGCGTGAGCAAATTGACACGCAAACCGCCTTTGCTCACGCTGCTTTTTAACATTTTTTTCTACCTCCAACTCGTTGATTGCAACGCTTGCATTTTAACGCGATGCTCGCGAGCAACTATACGTGTGGCCAAAGCAGCACATTTTTTCCCGTCATTAGAAAAGTGCAAATCTGATCCCTATACGTGCGCGTTCGTAGTAAGAAACGATTTTTCTCTCTTAAAGCTGTGAATATATTATATAGTGCACAGTATGAAGGAAGGGAATTTCAAGCATTTTTGTAACTCCGTGCATGAAAAGCCAGACTTGCGAATTTAATTATCTGTAAACGAGACATTTTATGTAATTTTTCATTTTTATGGCAGCTAGCACTTTTTACTTGGCACGTATACAAGAGTAATTATACATCATCCGTGCACTAGCACAGATGTATACGCATTCGCACTCGGGGTACTAACGAATATATTGGGGTTTTCCCATTCATTGGTGTGCGAGACACGTTTTATACTTGATATTACCTCGCCATTACATGGTATTGTAAAATCACGCAACGCAATGAGACACAAGGTTTGAATTTGTTATTCTCATTTGTATTGTTTAAACGAGAAAAATCGTCGGGATGAAAGCGAAAAGACAATTCGCGTTTTCATTGTAAAATATATTAATCAAACGGATTAATATGTGTATGTTATAATACTTTTTGAAGTAGAAAAGTTCGTGATTATAGACTTTACAATTTTCTTGTATACTGGGTTGGTTAGCCTTTGCCTGAAATTCATCGCATCGACTAATGCAAATAGAGATACAGACATACATAATGTTAAAAAACTCTGAAATTTTATGAACTATTAACGACATAACGTATGATGCGTCGAGACTGGAAAACCTCGATCATTGGCCAATCGAATTAATTCTGGCAAGGCTAGCGAAAAAAGTGTGTTGTGCTTGTAATTCAAAAAATATTTTTAAGCGCGATCGATGCAGGTCAATGGAAGAAATTTCGCGCAAAATAAACACGTAAAATATACACATACGCTAACAAACACAGAAAATCATCATGGCGATGACATTGACGCTACATATAACATTGAAAATGAATGTGTAACGACACAAGGGTACGTTGTTGATCAGAGACAAAAATCCATCAAGTAATTTTCGTGTATTCGGGCAAATATTAGCTTGGTTAATTATTGAAAAATGAAGAGCACGTTTTTCAGCTTTGGTATAATGTATCGAATTGATGTATTAAGTACATGTACAAAAAATAGAGAAATTGTTTGTTTTCGAACGTAATGAAAATATTTTGCGCAAAAAGTCGAGGGAACATAAGAAAATGAATATATAGAACATGGATTGATCGTACTAAGAGTGTATAATTAGTCACACAACAGAGGAAAAATCTAGAGCGAAAACCAGTTTTGCATTGAGCTATCGTCCTCTTTTCTTGTCTTGCCACGAAAAACAGGTATCTCTATACGAGCACGGCATTTAATGTGGCTCTTTAAAGTCACTCTCTCTCTTTCGCGTGCGATGCAAAAAACGGATCTAACTGGAGTGTAATGCTGCGGAGAGGTTAAGTTCGAGCCACAATAATCGCTGCAAACGAAGCCTGGTCAGTAGCGCCGTAGGGCAGATGAGTAGTTTAGCGCGCAACACGCCGCTTATACGTTTTTAAAAAGCTCAAAAGTAAACAAGCAGACAAGCAGAGAGCAGCTCTCGACGTTACGATATAGACATACATGTGTACGACGAAGCGTAGGTCGCGCCGCACAATATATAGATGCACATTCGGTATGTCGCGCAGCAGAGTATACATATACGTAATGCAGCGTAGGTTCTCGCGCAGCCGCGAACTTTCCAGAAACTCCGAGATTCTACGCTCGCTCGTGTACTCGCGGAAGAGAAGCTTCATCCCTTATTCGCGTTCCGGCGCAATATTTACAGCGAGACCGGGAATTATATTCGCGTTCGAAAGTGATACGATTGTCGCGATGCGATTCGCCCTTTGCTCGTAATGACATCGTCCGATTCTGTTTACAATTGACAGCGATTATATCGACGCACTGTAAAGTGTTTGATTCTGCAGCAACGAGAAAACGTAAATCTGGCGTAGTAGGAGCCGCCCCTGTGTTAAAGTACGCGGCAACAGTATCAATATTTCTCGAGCTAATATGGGCAGAGCACCGAATTTGGTGTGTTTACATTTTATAATCAGTTACAGAACCAAACACCTTACAGTGTACGATAAACAATAAAAGTACGTGTGGTAGAATAACATGGCAGTACTTACATTTTTCTCCGAGATATATCTCGTCGTTTTCGCTGCTTCTCGTTGACCGTTGCTTTATTATCAAAATCGACGAATAACCGAGGGCTGCTGCGTGCTCCGAAATTTTGCTGTGCCGATAATGCCGCTTTTTTCTTGCTTATCCCTCGAACGAAACGAGACACGAACTCTAGAACGCACCGGGCGTCGACGATCCCTCAGTGCGTTTTGGATGCAGCTTGTTTTTTGCTCTTTTCTCTTGCTGCAGCCCACTTTCTTCCGACAAATACAATAATTTCAGCACACTTGTATAAAACAGCATACGATTGATCGGTGTGTATGCGAATATCGATATACACGCGTTTAAATTCACGTACGCATATATTTGTATACGAGCGAGCAGTTTGAGCGGCTCGTTTTCTTGGCACACTGGTTGCGAGAGAGACACACAGTTTAAAGACAAGTTCGAATTTCGAGCGAATCTCTTCTATTCGCTCACCTGTACGCACACACACACACACACACAAGCTCACACGCGCGCCGATAATGGACAAAATGTGCTTTTTGATTGGTCGAAAAGCAAAAAATCGACTCTGGAATGACTGGCGGTTATGCGACTACCAAGATGCGGTTAAAAATTCGCTGGAAAACGTGCACACTCTGAGGCTGGATTTTTCAAAAAAAAAAAACACTATTACGAAGCTCGGGGGGCGAATCAAATAGAAAGAGATAAAAGAGAGCACTGAACTTTTTCAACAACACAGCACACCGGATTATATCATTCGTTGCGCTTATGTAAATTTTGGTCGCACACTAAATTGCCTCGAAAAAAAGCTCGGCTCTTGAAATCCTCGGCGATTCGTATACGTTGAAGAATAGTTTTGACGATTATTAGCGAAATAAGCAACTAAGCAAATAACTTGGTTATTTGCTTCAACACAAAATATGTTGTTCAACACGTATATTATTAGGAAATAAAATGCGTGATTGCGATTGTGGCGTTGAAGTTGTAACGTTATGACTTAGTCGAACGTCGATAGTTGAAGTGTCAATTGACGGTTGCTCGAAGGAAATAACAATAATCGCTTTGACGCGAGCTTATTCGGTCAACTGAACGCAGCACACCAATAGTTTTGACACACTATAAGCACACGACGCAGCTTGACTCGCAGACTCGCACCTACTGAAAAGTTAGCGACACGGCTCGGCGAGAAAGAGGCAGCCAGCGGCTGCGGCGGCAGCAGCGCGGAGCGGCCGGGCCGCCGTCGAGCGTCACGATTGCCGTGTGCCGTGTGCTGCTGCAGCGGGGGGAGGAGGAGAAGCAGCAGCAGCAGCAACGATGCAGGAGGGGGAGGACGCCAGCTTATGTACACTCGTGTTATGTATATAGTGGTGGCGATCGCGATTCGCGTACTTAATACTACGGCGACCGATCCGAGCCAATTCTTAACGGTGGGCCGAAGGGAGATGCTGTTGGTACGATTTGGAGCCTTCGTGTCTTATCCTCCTATCATACACTGTCTTTGTCGACTCGTACTAAACGTCTGTCTTTCTGCGTGTATAATACGCGCGGAAAAGACACGGGTATTTTCAACCGCTGCGAGTCGAACGCCTCTGAACGATCATCCATCTCGCTTCTCGCCCGGCCGTTCGTCAGCCTCTGATCTACGTCATGTATTACAGGTGCGATTATGCCGCATCTATTGTACTGTATGCGCTGCGTTTTAAATCGATTCTAGGAAACGTTCATACAAATCCCAAGTGTTTGGAGAGTCGTAATATCGATTCTTTCGTTTTTTTTTTTAAATTTATCTTATTATTGTTTGGATAATTTTTACGTATTTACCCAGCCGAATCAACGTTAAAAGGTTCTGAAACGCCAATTGGCGAGAGACAGAAACGAGGTTACGGCCTGGTCGAGCCTATACCGCTGGGTGTCTTGACCAGGCAAAAATTGGGTGAAACGTTTCTTTCTTCCAAAGGGAATCGTAAAATTAAGCGATAAACGCAATAAAGATCGGAACGGTTACCCGATATTCTCGAATAATAGAGGCGGCGTCGAAGCCGTTGACCCGTTTTTGCGCATTTTTGCGAGATATAGTTTAATTTTCAGCCGCGCTGACCTGCCACCGTTACGTGCGCATTTTTATTAACGATAATAGCACCGAGTACATGACGTCGATCGAGACTCGTCGTGAATTTCGTCGGAGCTTAATTTAAAATTATTCATTCCTGCGCGCGCGGGCGACTTTGAAAAAACTGCGCACAGAGCTTTTGAAGCGTTCGAAAGCGTACTAGAGTGCGCAGCGCTCATATGCGAATTACAGCACGTCCTATGCACGCATCTCATTTGGCAGCTATCGCGCTGCACGATATTTACGGAACGGAAAAGAGCGCGGGACGCGCCGGTCTCGGCTAATTAACGTTTCGAAAGCTTCGTAAAATATTTTGATACAATAATTAACGCTCCGTCAATCAGCTTGCGAAATTTCGTTCTTTTTTTTTCTGCTTCTTGTTCGCGATAACGTGCAGCTCTACACGAGAGCCTCGTGCGTATGCCTCCTTGTTTACGCGCGTGTGTATATTCAGAGTGGCGAGCGCAATGTGTACCCTGCGTATACATACACTGATTTAAAAAACAATATTAAAATGAAACATCGGTAAAATGTACAAGTCGCGCACGAGGTTGAATTATTTTTTCTTCTTCTTTTTTTTGAATAGCTGCGTGCAAATCGTAAATTATTTGTCTGCCAGTCGTCGCAGGCATTCGCGCATCGAGCAAACAAGTTTTGAAACGTACGTAAATCGGGCTCGGGGCGTCTTTGTGCGTTAAATCGTCGGCGGTGGTGACCTGGCTACGTGCGAGCGAGCAGAGACTACAATACAATCTCATCTTTCGGTTCGATAGCCGTATCAAGAGGCTCTCGCGGAATGGAGCGAGAGACGCGACTGAACTCGAGCGCGGGTGCAACAGCCGTAGGAGAATTCTCATTAGCGTCCCTCGGAGCCTTCCTCTAGCTTCTTCTTCTTTTTTATTCTTCTGTTAAGCGTCATTTCCTTCTACGCGTCCGACTCGAGTGATAAGACGGCCACGACGTCGGCACTTTGTTGTTCTTTCCACGGGATTATCGGTATGCGAAGGTAAATTCGAATATCTTCGGAGGTCGATCGATCGTCGAATAGATTCAACTTTAATACACTACATTATGTATGTCATAAAAAGTCAATGACGTGCTTTTACGAATTTCCTCCTTCGGGCACATGCTCGATCGTATACGTCAAAACAAATTATTGCGAAATCGTGGAACGAAAGACGCGATCTCATATAATAGTATACAGCGCGAATAGCCACACACACGCACGTGCACAATTCGTATATGACGCGTTATTATTGACATGTGTAACGATCAATTTTACAGCTCTACGTACATCGTATTGTTGAAATGAGATAAGGTATTAATAGGTTGGCCCACGTGTATCGCGTGTGCATGGATGCTGCTGCTATTTTTCGAGCATATATTATATGCGTTGCCTTTGGTCGCGAATGCGTCACGCGTTACAGGCGATTAATGATCCATCGCAGCTACTTAACTCGCACTCGTAGCAACCAAGTAATTAGCTAGTTCTTACGAAGATGCCCCTCGTAAAATTCCAAACGATCAGCCATATATTTGCAATATATTAGAATTTCGTATGTGCAATATATCGCCGGTATATTACTAACATAGAGGCAAAAACTTATCCGCACTTATGTTGTAAATGCAATGCAATACTGAAGTGAATATTTTCGGTCAATATGTTGACGATGTATTGTCACCCGAAAGAATGAATTTGAAAATAAAATTATCTTTTGATTATGCTTTAACGTATATTTTTCATTATAAAAATCATACTTTTCGTGGCTTGCATATGGTTAAAAATGATGATTTATTATTATTACATAATACATCATGCATTTACACTTTGAATTCAAGAAAGTCTTGAACATAAATTAAAATATAATTGAGATACATCACAAAATAGGCAAGATTAAATTATGATTCTTTTTTATTTTTGCATCGGATTATTGGATTAGTGCTTCGTTGTAACTTCAATGATTCGTGGCGAATTATTGCAGCTCAAAAATATTTTTTCTAATGATTTTATTTCTGATTTTCAACTGCTGACACGGATACGTGAATCTGCAGAAAGAGGAAAAAAATATTTTAAATGTATTCCTTAATAAATCTTTCAATGGACTAATAATGAATAAGTAAATATATTTCATTCAGGTTACTGGGTAACAAATAAATCAAATTGTAACAGAATATGTAAATTTAAAACAGGAGTCAATGGCATTTGACGACTCACTTTTGAACGTGGTTGCTGTTTATCTGTGATCTTATTCATCGCTATCAGTATCTTCAACAAAAAACTCCAATTTTTTATAAACTTCACGCATTTTTAACTATTTTACGTGACTCTTCTTATACCAGACGACTAAAATTGACTATAAGGAACTATCATTGACGTAAGTCATGCACATAAAAATCAGCAACATATCGCAAATGTATCTCCAACCGATTGAATTTTTTCCAGGGTGTGCGCGTAATTTTAAAACTTTACTTTCTGCGCGCGACTAAGCTGATTTCTCGCGTTGCAGGATACAACTTAATCCGTGGTGAAACAGAATTTAATTATTTTTCGGACGATTGGCGAAGTGTGCAATAGCCAATCATCCAAATTTAACGACTTTATAAAGCTCGCGACTCTCTAACATCTATATGAATCGATGTATATAATATATAATCTTCAAAATTGCGTGCAATATTTTGAGCCTTAGTTCGCACACGTACGCTTACATAAGTCGATATTTATAAAAGTATAAAATATTATCCAATTGGAAAAATGAAAAGAGACGCGCGCGTTCGCAGAAGCAAACTTGAAAATTTTATGGGGTACTTTTTGAGGCTGGCAGAGTTTTCCGAGGATTTCTTTTCATTAAAATTTACGCGCGAGATAAATACGTGGAGAAATTCGGATGAGGCCGATCAAAGTGTTAAAGGCTTCGCGAGATGCCGAAGTTACGTAAGGAGAATATAAGTCAGCGTCTTTGAAGCATTGGCATTAGCAGCAATTCGATCCGCGGACAGATACACACGAACACGGGGAGAGCCTGCGCGCAAATGGATAAAAGCGAGTTTAAGCTGCCATGTAGGCTTCGATAACGCGCCCAGCTCGAGCCGTATAGTACACTATTTATAGTCCTGGAGCCAAAGAGGGGTCGGATCGGCCACGTGAAGAAGATGGATGAAAACATGTTATTCTTACGTATTTTTTCCCGCTGAATCCGAATATCATAGTTAAAAGTCGCTCAGACTGCCCAAAAATTTGTTATAAACAAATATATTGCAAAATGAAGAAAATTTAAATTTTTCTAAATTTTAAACACATATTTGTGTTCTTTGAGCAATTTTAAGCAAAAAGTGTCTCTTGTAAAATTTTCGTAAAATGATTATTTACCGAGATATTGAGACTCAAAGAGGAAAAAATGCACATTTTTGGCCATTTTCAAATACCCATAACTTTTGAAATAACAACGTTAGATCGATTTTAGACCCGTCATTTGAAAGATAAAAACTTAATCTTTAAGGTGATACTAATTTCAAACATGATTTATCATACTGGACATGTTTTTTTGCACTACAAACATCGGCGTTGCCACGTTCTGATGGCAATGCACATGTCAGTAGCACGCGTAACGCGATTCCACGCTCTGACACGCCGATGTTTATAGTGCAAAAAAACATGTCCAGTATGATAAATCATGTTTGAAATTAGTATCACCTTAAAGATTAAGTTTTTATCTTTCAAATGACGGGTCTAAAATCGATCTAACGTTGTTATTTCAAAAGTTATGGGTATTTGAAAATGGCCAAAAATGTGCATTTTTTCCTCTTTGAGTCTCAATATCTCGGTAAATAATCATTTTACGAAAATTTTACAAGAGACACTTTTTGCTTAAAATTGCTCAAAGAACACAAATATGTGTTTAAAATTTAGAAAAATTTAAATTTTCTTCATTTTGCAATATATTTGTTTATAACAAATTTTTGGGCAGTCTGAGCGACTTTTAACTATGATATTCGGATTCAGCGGGAAAAAATACGTAAGAATAACATGTTTTCATCCATCTTCTTCACGTGGCCGATCCGACCCCTCTTTGG